ACGCCTCCGTCACGTTTGCGGCCGTACAACAACGACAACGACGACGACAACGACGACGACAACGACGACAACGATGCCGCAAGATTCAACCGAGAAAGAAAACACTGAAAGACACACAGAGAAAGAGAGAAAGAGAGAAAGAGTACCAAGTAACCAACCAACAAACTCAACCAACCAACCAACCAAGTAACCAACCAAGTAACCAACCAAGTAACCAAGCAAGCAAGCAAAGAACGATGACAACGAACGGACAATAAGAAAGAGAAAGAGTTGATGGTAAAAGGGAGGTGGTAGGTAGGAGGACAAACGATAAGTGTCCTCGGTGTACCTTAGAGACATGCGTGTGTGACGAAAGACAGAGAAACACATAGAGTAAAAGAGAAAGAGAAATGATCATGTGTATATATGTATATGTGTGTGTATGTGTGTGTGTGTGTAAAGGCATCCTGGTAGCAGAGCAAGCACTCACTCTCCTTCTTCACCTCCCTCTACTTCACGTATATACGTTTGAGAATACATTATGTAAGCAAAAGGTGAAAAAAGTCTTCTGGAATACCCCCCACCCAAAACGAATCTTCTCTTATCTCTCTCTCTCTCTCTCTCTCTCTGTCTGTCTGTCTGTCTGTCTCTTTCTCTATCTGTTCTTGTCTTTCTTTAAACACGTCTCTCTTTGGGTTTCTATCGAAAGGTGGTACCCTTCTTCCTCTTGTCCTTGTATTTTTATTTCTTTATTTATTTCTTTATTTGTTTCTTTCTTGAGTACCTCTACCACATGCCGTAAGAGTACAAAAGTATCAGGGCATAGACCCCCTGTTTTACGTTATATGTGTACTCCCCCCGATGTACCATAGGTATGTCCAAAAAGTATCAAACACCATTCGGTATACTTGTTCAGTTTTACTTTTATACACGGTGAGCTTAAACTTCCTTCCAATTCAATAATCGAATATTGAAGAAAAATATATTTCTTATATTAAATTGCAATCATATTTGAATTCTATTGGGTTGGCAAGAAAGTATAATATTTCGGTTTTCTAGTGTGAAATAAAACTCAATTTGTTTCTATAGCAACGAAAAAGTGTCAACTACCAAATCTTAAAAGAAACAAAATTCTAATATTAACAAAAGAATAACGAAACAAACATAACTTTATTTATTGGTGCAAACCGAAATGACTTTCTTGCCAACCCAATAGTTGAATGAATATTAAATGGAAGAATAAAATACAAATCGGAGACAATAGAAATGATCTCATTTAGGTTAGTTGGAAATGCTTAAGTTACTTCTCATACATTTCATCATGGATTTACATCGTTAGACCCTCGTCTAAACCTAACCTATGACGAAAGAACAACTTTATCGACTAATAAATATTTATGTTACATTGATTATTCAACGATCTGCTTTTCATGGCACACCCTATATATACGAAATCGAGCTGTTGTTCGAGCCTCGTTCAAAAAAGGAAGAGAAAGAGGGTGGGGTGGGGTGGGGTGGGGTAGGAGAAGCGAGTCAGAGTGAGAGAGAAAGAGAAGAGAAAAAAAAGGTGAAAACAATGCATCCTGGAAGCCGGACGAACTCCTCCGCGAGAAGAGCGATGGTGGATGTGAAAGGGAAGAGGAAGAAGAGGAAGAGGAGGATGAGAATGGTAAAGGGCTGTGAAAGAAGAAGAGGGATAGTACTCCAATACTCGTTGTCTTTTCTCTTCTTCGTCTGAACGTCGACTAAATCTATCGAACGATAGCCCTATTCTTTTATGGTTTCATTACGAATTTTAACCCATCGACTGCCAATCTTTTGTTTGTTTTTTAATTTGCGATCGAATAAGTTATATTTCGCTAAATATAAATTCACAAAATCCCCCAAATGAAAATCATGGCAGTTATTGGATTAAGGGAAATCAAATTTTTAAGTTTTTCTTTTGATTTCTTTTTTTCAAATTTTCCGCCAATTTCGTTGATTCAAAATTTTGGCTGCCACGCGATTGATGTTTAAGCATTAAATGATTTTAATCATTGGAAAAAACTGTACGGTTGTGTAATGATAACGGAAGGATTTTGAAAAAAAGAAAAGCCAAAAGAAAAAAGATGGCGAAGAGGGAAGAATGAACGGCATTTTTCATTTACTTCGCGTCTCGCTTATCTCGGGCCAGATCTTTTACAATACACGAACCTCAACTGTACGAACACACTTGAAAGTTTTTTCTCTTTCGAAGGACTGGACGAGTACGAAGACAGTTAGACGTGTTTTGACTAATGTAGTAGGCGCTGAAGTCACGTGACCGTGTTATAACCAACTTCCGTAACGCGCGCATGTTCGCCTAGTATTCGAAAAACATGGCGGGAATGTAATACTTAATTCGACTAAGCGTGTTAAGATTCGAAATTTCGTTCATAGTTTAATGAAATTTTGTTGTTTTAATTCAATATCGATGGAACAACATTTGTTTAAAAAGAAAACAATTTACTATTGCAAAATTGGGGCAAGATTTTGGTTAAATGTTTTTTTTTCTTTTTTTTTTAAGGGTGTATTGCAAGCTCTACTCGAAACTTTTGAAAAAGCTTTGAGAAACATACTCGTTGCATATATACATATACACAAACATATATACACATATATATTACGAAGATTTAAAAGGTTTCGCAGGAATAACCGGTCAAGTTAGGCAGTAAACCTTGGACATCGTTGTTGTTGGACGTTTCTCTTTCTTTTTCATCTTCATCTTCCTTTGAGTATTATTCACGAAGATAGAAACATTCATTTTCGTTTGCAATTATTGCAATTGTCTCATTATTATAATCAATAAATATTAATGTGAATCTATGAAAAAAAAGAAGAAGAAGAAAAAGAAAGAAAAAATTATTTTGCAATATAATAATTTGTGTGGTCAGCAAAATTGATTGTGTCCGAAAGGACAATGACATCAAAAGGAAGATAAGACTCACGAGAAATAATGGTGGTCATGTGGAAAAACCTTGATCAATCTTCTTTTTCTTTCTTCTTTTTTTTTTTTTATTTTTTTATTCTTATCTCTATTTTCAACGGAAAGAACAAATGGTCCTAGAGAAAACGGGAAAAAATGTTAAATCTATGATGCAAAGAGGAAAAGTACAAAAAAAAGATTGAGGAACAAGAAAAAGAATAAGAAGAAGGAAAAGAAGAAGAAGAAGAAGAACAAGGTGGTTGGCACCTCTGGTCTCGTAGTAAAAGTGCAGGTGCAACCCAAGCGAGGATAGATGTCGGTGTTAGATAGTTCAAGGCACCCACAATAAATTTCACGATGCTACGATCCAGATAGTGAATCGACGCCATGAAATAAAGAAAGAGAAAGAGAAAGAGAGAGAAAGAGGTGATGGTGGTGGCGTTATGGTTGTTGTTCTTCTTCTTCTTTTTCTTCTTTTATCTAACTATACCTTTTCCTTCTTCTTGCCATTGACCTCTCGACAAAGTATTGCCCCTGGTAGACGCCAAACGTATCAGAAAAGTCTTTCATTGCACCTGTCTTTCATATGACCTCTTCGAAACTTTTTTTTTATAGAAATTTTAGTTTGAAGATTTGAAAAGAAAAGAAACAAATTATCCGTTTAATTAATTGTTTACATTTGAATGGAACAAATAAAATTTGCTTAGATAGGTAGAAACAGGTGAGAGAATATTACCAACAATCGTTTCATTCTATAATTTGACTATTGATAATTCTAAAAAAAAAAAAAACTAATAATGAATTGATAATAGAAAACATAAAAAAAAGAAAAATAAAAAATACAAAAAAGAGAAGAGAGAGAGAGGGAGAGAGAGAGAGAGATGAAGGATAGGTTGGTTGTTAAGAAGAGTGGGGTATGAAACGCTAATTACGAGCAAACAGGAGAATATTTCCACCATAAGGGGTTTACACACGTAGTGTACTCACACACATGCATATATATATGCGCATAGACGTAGAATAAACGATAGAGAGGTACACGAAATACATAGAAGAGAAAGAGAGAGAGAGAGAGAGAGAGAGAGAAATTCGCCGTTAGCTTCCTCCCTCGAGGAAAAAGAGAAGTTCGTTTCCTCTCATAGTACTACAACCCAGAGAACAACGTCACGGCTCGCTTGAGAAACGGAAACCACCTATTCCGATCTCCGTTTATTCGGACCTTATATATATGTGTGTGTGTATGTATGTGTATGTTGCGTAAAAAACGAAAAGAGAGAGAGAGAGAGAGAGAGAGAGAGACAAAAAAAGAAGGCCATTTAACAACAAAAGTCCCCATTGCATACGTGGGTTCATACGAGGATAGAAAGAGAAAATGAACAGCAACCACAACAACAACGAAAGTTAATTTACGTATACGGTAAATTTGTGTAATTAGAGAGAGAGAGAAAGAGAAAACTAATTTAATAAGGAAATGTGATATTACATGTGTAAAAAGTGTGAAGGAGAATTGATTTATAATCTAAATCAAACTTAAATATTTACAATGAGGATTATTTGGTAATGGAAGTAATGGAAATGAAATATTAAAGACTTGTTTTATAAATACACTATGCTTCATCTATTTTCAAATGGGAGAAGAAAGATCGATGACAATGAGAGTAAATCAATCACGAATGAAAGAAAAAAAAAAACGAAAGAAAAACTTAACTAGAAATCGTTGGAAAAGGAAAGACCACTCTAGTCTTCTCGAATAATCTTGAAAGAAACTACTACAACGAGGAGAACGACAAAGACGACGTTTTCCGAACAACTCCGAGACCAGTTTTAGTTAGACGTGTTCAATGACGCGTGCAATTCAAGATTTAAATTGTTATGCTCGATCGATCCATCGATCTATCGATCTATTTTATAGCTATACCGATCAAAAATGGGTGATCTATGACTTTGCTTATATCTTCCAAAACCAATTTTATTTCTCTCTTTCTATCCATTTCTCTTTTTATTATTTCTAATCTATATATATATATGTAATATTAAACTTGGTAATAACTTGTATACCATTTCGATCTGATTACAGAGCTCCAACCTTGGCCAGGAATTACTGGACAGAGTATTCAGGCATTTGAATCTCTTAGAAACCGCTTACTTTGGTCTACGTTATTTGGATCATGAAAATCAAACGGTGAGTTTATTATTATTATTATTATTATTATTATTATTATTATTATTATTCGTGTGTATTCTTTCGTAAAAAGATAAAAAAGAAACAAATAAATGTCGGAGGGATGTCCGATTGGCTAGCCCTCGAGGCACAGACGGACGGATAGGACTATTATCTACGGGAAATGTCGAGCTGCTGCAATTTCCGCTCTACAGTCTTGAATCGAGAGTCTCGATTGACTCTGGTGGTCTCGATGTAATACTCTCTCTCTATGTCTATGTATCTACGATATATAATAGCATCCAAAAAGGGATGGGAGGTTAAAACCCTTCCAAATTTTTGCTTTTACATTGCTAAGCCAAAAGTGTTGTTATTTTATGAACAAATCAAATTATCAAATTGCAAGTGCAATTATTTGCTTGTTTACTTTTGCTCGTACAATTTATAATCTTGAATTATTACAATTATAAAAATGCATTAATAAAAAATAAAGACACTCTCACACAATCCAATGAACCAACCAAAGAAACATATTTTATTAGACTTTCATTCATTCTATCATTGTTTTATTTTAGTTTATTTATTTTCTAGCAATGGCTGGATCCCAGCAAGAAGATTGGCAAACAATTGAAAATCCAAAAAGGTGATCCAACCTCGGACGTACATACGTTGTACTTTGGCGTTAAATTTTATGCAGCTGATCCCTGCAAACTCATCGAGGAAATAACAAGGTAAAAATAATAAATAAATATATATTTTTAAAGTTATTTAAATATATAAAAAGTTATAAATAAATAATGGCCAATGAGTTCCAGCTATCACACACATGTTGTGTGAGCGACCATTAAAGTGTTAATATAATTAACTTTATAAAATTGCAATGTGATTGCTGTTGTTGCTTTAAAAACCACGATCAATTTTTTTTTTCGAGTAGAATAATTATCCCCTTTCACACACATACACATTTATAATTATTACATTTTTCCTATTTGACAAAGAACAAAAAATCAGCTTAAACGTTTGACATTCGACTATATATGTATAAATATATACGAACACACTACATTCTTTTTATTCACCCCCAACCCTTCTCTCATACTATCCAACCCATCTCTCTTTTTACTTTTCCTTTTATTTATTTTTTTTTGTTTCGTTTTCATTCGAACGAAGTAACGTTTCCGTAGAGTATAACATTCGTCGCAACGAGTGCTATTACCAGCACAAAAATGCAGTTTCTCTGCTATTGCAATCTACAGTACCGTCCCTCCCACCCTCTCACCACCCTTCCCTCATACGTGCATTTGTCGCGTATAGTATATGCGTGTATATGTGTGTCCTGTAATCTTTCAATCAGTCTCGACAACACTAATGGAGTCTCTCTAGTCTTTTATAGTACTCGTGTACTCACATATATTCATATATATGTATAATATATGAGTATATGTGTGAGTGTGTATCGTATGATTCTCTTTCTCCCTCTTATCACCCTCCCCGGTTCTCTTATATTCTCAGTCTCTCTTATACACATATACATACACGTATGCATGTATATGAGAGTGATATCAGACTCAGTTGGATGACTGTGCCCTTCTCTCGTTATCCTAATGAGTCAGATTCCAAATTCTACACGTAGTGAACTCGTTTGAAAAATTTCTTTTCGTCGTATTCGTCGTTACTCGTTCGTCGTTGTTAAGTAAAAGTACCAGGAACAAGAAGAAGAAGAAGAAGAAGAAGAAGAAGGAGGAGGAGGAGAAGGAGAAAGGAGAAGAAAGAAGAGGGATGAAGTGGATTGAAATTTAATATTCCACCCCTAACCTCATCCCCCTATTTTTCCTCTTCTTCTTCCTCATCTTCCTTTTACGTTGCATTCTTTTCCAGCAAATGACGTTTCCTTAACTCCTATATACGTATCCATGTATATATAATATATATATAATACATGTTTCGAGGAACTTTTTAGAAATTCTTTTATGGTTCTTGACTTCGATACTTGTCTCTCGTACAAAAGTTAAACTTGAGACGCGAAAGTGATATTATTTTATATATATATATAAAGTATCTTATTATCTATTGTGTCGTTAGGTATAATAATAATACCTTTGGCGCGTGTCTATATATATACTTTTTTTAATGATATCACTCTCTATTGTTTCCTTTTCTATTTTAATTAATTTTTTCTTAATGTGTTAGATACAGTTTTAATTTGTTGAAAAGTTTGTATATTAATTTAATAAAAAGTAATTTATGCAAGTTCTATCATATTCTTATTTAACATAAAAGCATTACTATTATTAAATAAATATTATGTGTATAGAAAACGATTAAATAAATGATTAATAAAAAGTTCTTTCTATAACCATAATAAATGAATTAAAAAAAAAAAATCTTCGTAACGACAAATTAAACATCGGTTGTTAGTGGGTTTTCTTTTTTTGTTTTAAGAAAGAGACAAAAAAATAATAATAAAAATTATTAATTTCAATGAGAATCAAAACAGACAAAAAAAATTCTTCCAGGACCAGTTTTCTTTTCCACTCTCCCTCTCTAATTTTTTTTTTTTCATAAACACACACACACACACACACACAAGTATAAATCTAAAAGTGTTTAGGTATATTACGAAGGTTTGAAAATCACGACTCATTATTGCACGACAAGTCTCTTTCTCTCTCTCTCTCTCTCTCTCTTCTACTTGCCATGTGAGATTTAACTTTAATTATGCGTCGACATTCCAACCCCGTCATACGAGTTGTACGCGTGAGATATAACTTTAATTATGACGCGGAACTTTTCTACCTATAAATGGAAAAGACTTGGTAAACACCAACATCACCACCATCAGAACCACCACCACCAACAACTACAATTAACAGCCATTAATGGGGTACAACTTTCTCACCCTATTTCTCAAGGGAAAATAAATATATATATATTTATGTATATATGTGTGTATATATGCGTGCATGAAAAGAGGGGAAGATACAAAGAAGGGTGCGTGGCAGTATGCAATAGTCTGTCATCGATGAACCACAGCTCGATTGATTTCTTGTCCTATGGGGACAAAAAAAATCTGCTGATGATAAAAGAAGAAAAACAAAAAAAAAAAAAAGAAAAAATTCAACTGAATGTTTAACTCTTTGAGGAACACAGAATTTCAGTTTATATATTCTATTATTTATTTATATAACATTCTATTATAAAATGATATAATTTTATTATTTCAAATGAAACACAAAATTGGTATATTTTTATTTACAGATATATTAAACAATATAGAAACATAAAAAAAAGAGTTAATAACGAATTGCTTTGCATAAATAAGATGAAATATAAACTTAGGAACATTGCAATAATATTTCGAGGTGAGATTAAAAATGTTCCACCATGCATTACGATTTATCCAAAAGGTGAGACACACTTTTAATCCCACTTTACCCCAAAGAGTTAATTGATACGATATTGACAAAAATATACAAAATATAAAATATGAGAGTAGTACCATTAGTGGCGATAGGAGCCAGAAAATGTTTAGTAGATGACGCCATTGGCCAAAGGTAGGAATCAGAAACGAATCCATTTGAAATCATGGATTTTATAAAAGTCGTCGTAGGTATCAACCAATCCTCCCTTGAGTTTCCCCCTTACTACCACCACCACCACCCACTCTCCTGTTTTTTCTCTCTCTCTTTCTCATTTCTAATGGGTTCTGGCGAAGATAAAGGGTAGGAGACTTTTCCCTTAGGAGATAACAGGTGTAGGTAACTTTTCTTTAGATACGAAGAAGTGGAATGATATCGATTTCTTTTAACTCTTTTCTCGATAGTTTTCTGTCATATGTGACTGAGTAACTAAAAGAGAAAAAGAGAGAGAGAGAATGATAGAAATGTTTCTTCTATACCCGATTTTTCTTCTTTTTTTTATATAAATATACGAAGAAGAAGAAGAAGATGCGTTTGTTCGTCTATGGGGTGTTTTTTTTCCTTTTTTGTTTCGTTCAATCCTTCTTGAGTTATATCTCTGGTCCTCTCATGTGTTAGCTTACTCCATGATCTCGACTTTCTAGATATTATTTCTTTGCTGAATCTAAAAGATATCTTTTTCTTCTTCTTCTTCTTCTTCTTATTTTGTTAACGTTTTCTTTAAAGCTTTATAAGAAGAAGAAGAAGAAGAAGAAGAAGAAAAAAAAAAGAAGAAATCTCTCTTTCTATTTCTTTGGTTGGTTACGTGAAAGAGATGAGATATATCATACACGCGTGTTTTCTTATTTTCCTTTCTAAAAGTAAAAGATTAGAGAAAAAAACAAAAAAAAAACCCAAAAGAAGTTTTTTAAATCTTTTACATATTTTGACTGTACTTCACGTGCGGCCATTAAGGTGTTAATATCACCTAGTTCTTCTATTTCGTTGTTTAAAACAATTCAGCATGAAAATAATACAAAAGTATTCGCGTGATTTATAAATTATCATCATTTCCATAAAACTAAAAACGCATTTCCATGAAATAACTCTCGTGCAAACACTATAGGGTGGGTCTTGGGTTCTATTTAGTCCAGTTAGAGAGAGAGAGAGAAAAGAATGTTAAGTAGAAAAATGAAAATGAAATTCAAGTGGATGAGAAGAAGAGAAGTCGAAGAGGAGTGAAGTGTGGGGGGACCCTGTTCTAAAATAATTTCAAGTGGGTTGTTGTGTTGTGGCATAGTGTGTACGTTAGGCCATGGCCTAACTCGAGTTTTTCAAGAATCGGTGGGTGGTGTTGATGTTGATGTTGGTGTTGGTGTTGGTGATGGTGGTGGTTGAAGAAACAAAAGAGAAAGGGAAAAGACTCCCGAGTTCACTCCCTCCAATACTCTTTTATGGGGGTCCCCCTGTAATCGAAAGAGAAACTCTCCTTTGACTCGTTTCTAACAACTAAGTCTGGACGTTCTTATTGGGGGCCCCCATAGATTATATCCTCGCATTTTGCTCTAGGCAACGAACCGAATACCATAATCCTTCGTCTTTCTCTCTCTCTCTCTCTCTCTCTCTCTGTTCTTCTCCCACCAATTAACTCAGCGTGCACCAATTATCCTACCGAAAATGAAAATTATAGGGAACATATTCTATCTTTTTCTTCCTATATCTAACGTTAGCCGACACCACGAACGAAACTTAACTCAACTCAAACTCGATCCCTTTTCTTCTTCGCAAAAAGAATTTTAGTTTCTTCAAATATTTTTCTCCCTTTTTTTTCATTTTGGTTCATTTTTAAGATTAGGTTTTAACCCGAAGTTGTTCTTCTACGAGTTTCATTGTATATTTTCAAATTGTTACAATAATATAATAATATAAATATATTGTGGGTTGTGCGGAAAGTTCGTGCCAATTTTGATGGAAGATTGAAATGCGATGTATTTAAGTTTTTTTTTCGGTATATTAAATTATATATATAAGTGCCATTTTGTTCCACAACTGTACTCCATCTTTGAAGGTAACCTAAAAATTTCGTTTTTGCAAAACTTTTCAGGTTTTTTAGCAAAAGAACTTTATACGCCAGCTACCAAAAATCGGCACGAACTTTCCGAATAACCTAATAAATAAAATGATTGAGTATTGAGAAATAAAAATTGTATAGTACGGTGACACGAGCCTTGCTTTGTGAGTCACTCGCCTATTACGAGATTTTTTTGGTCTTTTTATCTCTTTGTTCGTTGCGCGCGTGAACGAACCAAGGAAAAAGGAAAAGAAGAAGGAGAAGAAGGAGAAGAAAGAAAGAAGAAGAAGAAAAAAAAAAAAGGTCGAGCTATATATCGAGGTCGTGCCTATCTTACTAATGTCCGCCCACGAACGCACGAAAGGATTTTTAAGTTCCCTTTTGCGTCAGAACTTAACTTCGTGAAACGGTCCTCGAGCAACGTTTCACTCTTAAAGTTACGAGCCTACGTATCACGATACGTAGGCTCGTATTAAATCTTTCTAAATAAACAAATCAAACAATCCAAATTTGCTATAATAAGAAACTCGAAAATCAAATTACAAATCTTACAAAATCTATAATTACATCCCCTATTATTTATATATACATATTTAAAAAAATATTTGTAATCCATGTTAAGGATAGTAGAAAATAGGACAGGAGATAAGTCAAAGGGTGACGACTACGACTACGACTACGACTACGACGACGTGAACCCTTCAGATGGATTGAGATAGAAATAAGACAGAAAGAGAGAAGGGATATAACAAGCAAGGTAAAAAGAAAGAGAAAAAAAAAGCTTGGACTGGGGCGAGAATGAAAAAACCGTCGAGTGGAATCAGGGGGATTAAAAGAAAGAGCAAGCGAGATAGAAACAAAGAAAAAAGAAAAAGAAATCGAAAGAAAGGGAATGAGATCGAGAGTAAGAGAAAAGGAAGGGAGATTGAAAAAGGGAATAAAAAGAAAAAAGAAAAAGAAAAAAAGGATGGAAAGCCTTTAACGATAATTCTACGAGAGACGACCAAGGTGCGGAGAAACCGCAAGGCGAAAGACCGTGGTAAAACTGAAGTTTTGCGGCGAGACGAGGATGAGGCCCCTTTGGCTAAAATTCAACGTCACTTTTTTTTTTTTTTTTTTTTTTCTTAATATTTTCTTACTTTCTTTCTTTTTATCCTCTTCCTCTTCTTCATTTTCTTCTTTCTTGGAATGATGTTTTATTTGACGTGCGAGGTTGGATTTTCTCGTGTCTCATATGGTGAGACCCCATTACCACCACTACTATAACATAACAAAAAAAAAAGACACGAATACTATAAATTATAATCATTATTTTGTTCTATATCAAAATTGCAATCATTTAATTATTTTTCTTTAATTTATCATAATGTATAAATATATTTTTTCAGGTACCAATTCTTTTTGCAAGTTAAACAAGACATTTTGCAAGGAAGATTACCCGTGTCATTCGATTTGGCAGCAGAATTAGGAGCATACGTCGTACAATGTAAGTTATTAATTATTGAAAAATCATATAATTATTAAAAGAGGTTTCTCTTAAGGATATCCCATAAGGTTATTTTATACTCCCACGCGAACAGGATTTACCATAGGGGGACCGAAGTAAAGCTCAGCTTTGCTGGTTCTTCCTTGCGACGTTCATCTTCTTCTTTTTCTTTACCTTTCTCGATGTCTCCAAAAATGGACACAAATGAAATATTTCATTCGAAGAAACGTATTATATATATATATGCTCGTTTATACTCACGGGGTTACATTCGAAAGTACCGAACGTTCAAATATTTATGGTGGAAGGTAATAGGGGGGTGGGGGGTGGATATGGTCATTTTGCGGTACCATATTTGTCGGTAAACTTTAAATCATTCTTTTTAAATACAAATGAATATATTGTAATATTATTCTCTTATAAGTAATAAAATATCAAAATGACTTTTTTTTTTTCAATAATCGTATCGTTTAAGAATAATTTTGATGATTTTGGATGAAAAACGTGATCAAAATAATGAAATATTTCAATAAATCAAGAATTAAGAAGATGTTATAATTTAACCCATTGACTGGCAGACATATTTAGAGAGACTATATAACAACATTTGGAAATTTCGTACAATCAAACGTAGTTTAACATCTTTCCTGCTCTTTCTCTCTTTCTTTAGTACGTTCCTTATAAGATTCTTCTTGTTCTTTTTCTTTATCTTGTTGGTTATCCAACCTACCGAGAAAGATCATACCTCAAGTCCGTTAATTGAATCACTGACTTTGATGAATATCGGCTCCGACTAACGTAAAAGAAAAGAAAAAACCTTTTCAAGTTTATTTTCTTTCTTTTGTGCTCGACGAATCCTTCTTGGATAAATTAGAAAAGGAAGAAGAAGAAGAAGAAGAAGAAGAAGAATAAGAAGGAAAAAAAAAAGACATCGTTGCACCTTTTTTTACTTGTCGTCACCGTCGTCTACTCTTGTAAGCTCGTTCGTTTGTATAATTACCGGACATCCTACCTTCGTACCTTCATCGTCAAGAAACCCCTAACCGATTATCCTCGCTACTATAATATATCCCATCATCTAACGGTTACTTTTCTTTTACCTAATAACCTTCGACCATTTTTCTTCCTCCTTCTTCTTCCTCTTCCTCTTATTCTTCTTCTCTTCTTATTTCTAATTCACATCTGCTGAACATTATTACATTATTTATTACTTTATTTAATAACAAAAAACTTTTGTGTTTACTTGCTTACTTTTCTTCTCTACTGATCTAATTTTAAATGGATTTTTTACTTTACATTTGTTAAGAAAAAACGAAAAAGACCAAACTTCATTGGTATATCAAATAAAAGTTGGGTGTAAATGAGTGAGGAGAGTCTTTCATCCTTCATAAAAGAAATAGAGAGAGAGAGACATGACTTATCTCTGTGTGTTTCTATTAAAAAAATATATGCTTGTCCAGTTTCTTCTACTTTTTCTTTTTCTTCTTCTTGGTAAATCTTTCCTACCATCAGCTGTAAGATGCACTTGGTGTCTTTTTTCTCTCTCCCTCTCTCTCTCTCTCTCTCTCTCGTTTTTTCTTCCATCTTTCGTTGTCAAACGTATTCGAAGAGAGTAGCCGAAGAAAAGCTCTTTCATTTAGTTTCTTTTCAAGTTCCATGAGACGCAAACATAGTGCGAAAGAGAAATAGAGAAAAAGAGAGAGAAAAAAAGAGAGAGAGACACATCAACGTATATCTTTCCCTTCACACAGACTCCCTTTCTCTATTTGCATGACTTTGAATCTCGCGAAAGATAACTAATGCGCGTGTATTTTGCCAACCTAAACCTCGGAATCATCCTCCTCCTCCTCCTTTTCCTCCTCTTCCTCCTCTTCCTCCTCCTCCTCCTTATTCAAACCAGCTCGGTGAACTTACAAATATTACGCGTGCAATTACTTCTTCAATTCTCTATTCATAATCATTTCAAATATCATTTATTTGTTCTTTCTATTTCATTTCATTGCAATTTAGATAGATTTGAAATTTTCATGAATTTTTTAGAATGCGGAATATTATATATAAGAGAAGATTCCCCACTTTTGGTTAATATTAGATGGTCTACCGGAAAGTTCTGTCAACAATTTGTATATTGCATTTTGAAAAAATGTTTTATCCCTAAAGATGAAAAATTGAACCGGTGTTTGTCAGAATGGACAGAACTTTCCGGTAGACCATCTAATATTTACATTGTTATATTAAATTGAACAATATTCATTGAATTATTTATGCATATTGTTTTGTTTTTAGCTGAATTAGGTGATTACGATCCAAGAAGACATTCTTTAGGCTACGTTACGGAATTTCGATTTCTCGCTAATCAAACAGCCGAATTGGAAAATCGAATAGTTGAACTTCACAAGACACTCGTGTAAGTTATTTATTGATAGAAAAAAAAAAATACAAAAAACACAAAGATTGATTTATTTTAACGAAGAGAGATTTATATAACGTTATAAAATCATGTTATTTTGATTTATCAATTTTTCTCTTATTTTCAGAGGACAATTGCCAGCAGCTGCAGAACTGAATTATCTCGATAAAGTAAAGTGGCTCGAGATGTACGGAGTTGATTTACATCCAGTATTGGTTTGTATATTTTTCATCTTATTTCATGTACTATGTATGGTACAATAATCACTGGCAAAAGTCGAACAAGTATAAAAAAACAAAACAATTTATCTTTACACAACAATTTTCAAAATAATATATTTTATCTTCTTTGATGACAAATTTCTATTATAAAATCAAAATGAATATAATTTGATCAATAATAAACAACTTATTTCTAATTGATCATCAATCATTCCATTTTTTCATTCATCAATCTAAATAAAATCATTTGTCTTTTACAAATATATTTAAAGTATATATAAAGTCTTTTACAATATTTACATATTTATAATATTTCAAATCTTTCAAAATATTTCAATGATTTCAAATGAATTTTTGTCATTCTGTAACTCTTGCCAGTAAGTGTATGCTACATACAGAGAAAGGCAGGGGAGTGGGTGGGGAAGAAATAGAAGGGGAAAGAACGATATTAAACTGCTGATAATACTCCAGTGAAAGACCATAATTTTCATCCTCTTAGGGTGAGGATAGCGTTGAGTATTTTCTGGGCCTGACGCCGAGCGGTATAATACTCTTGCGCAACAAGACCAAAGTGGGCAATTACTACTGGCCCAGAATCAATAAAATCTATTACAAAGTAAGTATATATCGATTTTTTTTTTTCATCTTACGTATTAGATGTTTGTTTTGTAACGTTTAACACTATTTTTATCAAAGTTGTTAATCGCGAATGTGTTAATACATCCTTTTCTTTTTATTATTTCAGGGTAGATATTTTATGTTGAGGGTCAGCGAAAAGAATTCCGAAGAGAGGACGCACGGTTTTAAAACACCATCGAAAGGAGCTTGTCGACATCTTTGGAAATGTTGTTTGGAACATCAAGCATTTTTCCGATTAATGGCAACCGGTCCACCACCGCTTAGTCCATATTCGCGTTTTCGTTCGTACAGTCCACCAAGTGGTACCGAAAAGCATGCCACTTCGATAAGAAGAAATCCAGCACCTGCATTTCAAAGGACACCTAGTCGAAGAGCTCAAAGACGAGTCGTTGAAGGTCAAGAAATGGTTGGACCATTCGTCGAAGGTCCAGCCACAACGATCGGTGGTCCTAATTCTTGCAATAATCCACCTGGTAATGGTGGTAATGTTCTGTGCAATGCTCAAAGTAACAGACAAGTTAATAGTAGCTCTAGTCCGAGAAGTATCAGAAGTGCTCCATGGACTCAGAGTCAACCTCGTGGACTTTACACTTCGTCTAGTCCTCGATCCGTTCGTTCAGCAGGAACAGCACCGGCGGTAATTTCTTATAAGATAAACATTCACAAATGATTTTCTATTTAACACGATAATTATTGGGTTGTTTGGAAAGTAATTATTCATCTAGATAATTGATTTTCATTTTGTTTTGTTCTTTTTCCTTTTTTCTAGCTCTTGAGCAGACTCCAACGAAGGAGCAGCTCCGTTGAGAGTCAAAGTTCCGGTGACAGTCACAGTCGTGGTGGTCATCGTAGAAGAAGTCATAGTCATAGTCATCGAAGACACAGTAGACATTCCGATTGCGAGTCTGAATTATCCAGAGGATCGGATACGCGATCAGGACATAGGAAACATCGTAGAAAGCACAGGAGTTCTCGTTCTTCTAGGTATTTTAACAAGATAGATACGTGAAAAACAAGTCACACGGAAAAATCTTGAGAAAGATATTTTTTTTCTTTTTCAAATAAACTAAGTGCGTTGACCCTGAAAAATAAAATAAGGGAAGAATATTCTTTTTCTTGTTATATTCTCACGGTAGGATAAATTAAAATGCGTGAGGTAATCACGATAGTAATAACCGAGCGCGTGGGAACGAACTATACTGTATGCTAATATTTTTCTCAGGATTAGAAAAAAAAAAAAAGAATAAAAAGAACAAAATAATTATTATCGATTAAAAAATAATATAATAAATATTTTCCTCTATGTTTTAATTCCAGACACGAATTGGTAGATTCAGAGCCTCAGTGGAGAGAAGCGCAAAGGCGTAAAGGTGAAGGCGTACAAAGAGCCATTGTAAGTAGAAATATTCTAAATTCTAACAATATATTTTAATGAATAATAATGAACAAACAAAAAACAACGATTTTATCTTTATTCGTTTACGTAGGTAAGTCATACGGAACCTAGAAGAAGGCACAGAAGTAGACACAGGAGTCCTTCCCAAAAGCAACCACTGCCGGATGAGCTTAGAAAGTATGTTACTTTTATGTAATTGATTATACGAATGAAACCAGACACAACTCTTTAATACAGAGAGCACTGTATTCTATGCAAAAACCCTAATTATATACCTATCTTAATATTATTATTATTATTATCATACAATTACTCAACGTGCTTTGGTATAATATATAAATGGATAGTTCTGTTACCGAACTGTAAAATATAATTTATGTATATCCTTAATTATATACATACTTAGATCTTACTTTATTACTCAAAAAGCATCCAATATATATATATATTGGGTTGACAACTAAGTAATTGCGGATTTTAAATAAGAATGAAAATTCCAAATTTTTGCTTAAAAATATAAGTTTATTCAATTAGGTACTGTCCATTTTTGTTGATGACCATTTGCCATCGGTCAGGCAGTGTCATAATGCCACGTTCATAAAATTTCTGATCTTTGCTATCAAAAAACTTGAATTAGGTGTAAAAGAAAATCCGCAATGACTTAATTGTCAATCCAATATGTATATAGTGCACTCTACTTATCGTCAAGTTTTACTTATCCAATTGTACAACGTGTTATTACATTTTCTTCTGACGAAGATGCACATTTTCCAGACATTTGGAGTTTGGCCTAGTCGATACCACTGGAATGAGCGAACAACAACGTCGAGAGATTCCTTATACGGTGGTACAATCGCAATCTGTACAGCAATGTCCCCTACAATCTAGCAATTCACGTTTGGACGATGCAGAAACATCGTCCCTGCCTAGGTACGATGATCTCAAGACGGCCTGCAACCTCCACGTCCATCCTCCTCAAACGGAGGATGAAACTGGATCCGTAGTCATTGTTTAGATATTTAGATTTACCATTTTTTTTACCCATGCATGGTCTTGTACTTTTTATTTTTTATTTTCTTCATTTTTTAATTTAATTTATTTAGAGAGCATGCGTACGACAATTTTTTATTTGTTTTGTTTTTTTTATTATTATTATTATTATTATCTCTAATTTAAAAAGGCATGCCTCTTTTATTATTTATTCGAAAGCATGACAAAATCCTTTAATAAATCTGTGAAAATTAACAGCTTGCGTCGCACCTGTGTGTATTATTTTTGTTACCTTAGCGTGCTGGCACTCCTCGTGACGCTTTATATTATACTCCGCATTTTATATCGAAATTATTGTTATTGGGATTACGCGCGCTACGTGTCGTTGTGTGTTTGTACTTTTTTATTCCGTAAATTTATGCAGTGCATTCATTATTCCATTCATTTTTTTTGTGTGTTTTTTTTTCTGTGCTGTGTGTTTATTAATTTTTTTCTTCATCAAAATTCTTTATTCTATTTTTGTTTTGTTTGTTAATTGTTGCCTGTTATTATTTGTGGTGTGTATATTCATTCATTAATCTTTTTTCTTTTTTCTTGATGTTGCGTGAGTGCGTGCGTGCGTGCGTAATTTGCGTGCGTGTATATATGTTTAAAAAGAAACAAAAAGTTATGATTATTTTTTGATATACGTACAGTTAATATAATTTTCTTATTTTTTTTTTTTTACTTACTACGCGTTTACCACATTGATAAAATAAGAATTTAGAATTAAACCGAATGAAATCATCGAAATATTTATTTACACGTTATATTATCGTTTAACGAATAATGCGTATAGATTTATCAGCGTTTATTATTAAAAGGGACATTCGTTGTGTTATTACGAAAAAAAACAAAAAACAAAGTTTTTAAGAGGAACGTCCTGAAAAGACTGAGTAAGCCGAAATTTGTCAAGGATTAAATTTCAGAACGGTCGGATCGCTCGGGAAAAGAGACAGAAGAGTGATTCAACATATTCGCGATGGAAGTTATAATTTTCCAACTACGAGATCCAGTCAAATAGAGACAAAGTATCCAGTAGAGTATCCAGATGCTAGGAACGAGTATAATGTGAGGAGGGACTTTTATTATACCCGTAACAACAGAATATTAATAGGAAGTAACGTGGACAGCGGTCTCGGGGAAAGCACACCTCAAGAATTTTCCAGCTGCTGCTCAAGTTCTGCCGACAGCACCAAGCCCACTACTACTCGTGTAGTACGTATATCCTCTTATGCTTGCTTGTCATTTTTCTTTTTTTTTTTTTTTTTTTTTACCTCCTGTGTGTGACCCATTGTGTTTTGCATATGAACGATGTATTAAAAGTAGAATTTTAGATATCTATTTTCTTCAAATTCAATCAAATTTACAGGCAAGATGATAATGAATAACAATGTATAATTACAGTTTGTTTTTTTTTTATCTTTCTTGCGTGATGCACAATAAAAATGGGTAAACAAACACTCCCTCTTACGCTTCATTGTAGTTTATATCTTGCGTGCAAACAAATCAGGGATAATTTTATTTTTTACTCACCGGTTTGGGTACGAACAGAGAAACACATAGTTTTACTAGCTTGGCTAATTAATTTTCTCTTAATCATTCCCATGTAATAATAATAATATTAACCCTTTTCGGATGTGGGTCCACTTTAAGCCACCACACAATAAACCGTGCTAATCTTAAATATATATATATATATTTTATATGTATTTTTACATAATAAATATATTATATATAATATACATAAAATATGTATATAAATGAATTCCGACCACTACGACACCCATGTCCAAATTGAATACGTCCGAAAAGGGTTAATACTAATTACGTAGATTACACGTTACACATTTCACGTTCACATATCGTTCTTATTCCTTTTTATAGTAGATTAGTAAAAATAGTTTTCTTTGGTATAGACGCAATTGCAATTAGGGGGAGAGGTGCACTACGAACTATCTTCGAATCAAGACATCTACCCTCCTGTTGACACTACTCTGGACGCTGTTCTTCAGCCAATTATATCGTAAGTGCTTGCTTTGTGCTTACTCTCTATCTAAATTTAGCTTTATTAACCCTTTGACTGCTATGGACACATATATGCGGCCAGGGAAGAAAGCTATCGGTGTGGACTATGAACGCGTATGTGCGTCCAGCAATTTTCACTCATTTACCCTATGATTGTAATTCCATGTGTATTTGCATGGAGTGCAAGTTAATAGTAACTCAATTGCGTGCTATATAATCTATCATTAAAATCTGTCATTAAAATCTGTCATTAAATTGACAAAATGTGCGCTACGTGAAAAAACATTCTCCATCCTCTGCAATTACTTCAACTCCGAGAATTCTACAGTCAAAGGGTTAATATTCTATTGCATCTCGTAAATCGTACTGCGAATGTGATTTATAAATACATTTTAGTTTAGCTACCACAATATCCATTTAAAAAAAATAATAATAAAAATATCTTATATAATATTTTTCTTTCTTTCTTTTCTTCTTTTTTTTTATTTCTTTTTACAGAACCTTAACAAGGAGGCAAAGGAGCTACCAGAAATGAGCATGAAGCTTTAAATAATAATAATAATAATAATAATAATAATAATAATAATAAAATAATAATAATTCAAACTGAAGTTATAATGCACATATTGTATATTTAAGACAATTTTTATACCTCATGAAAAAGTAAACAAGAAAAAAGAAGCAATTTATAATCGTAGACGAATCACGTTGCACTTTTCAATCTTATGATATATACACACGACGCATGAGAGAAAAAAATTCAACTAAACAAAACCGAACGCACCATGTCTTTTACATCTTATTTATATTATTTAAAAAGTTTATATATATATATATATATATATATATATATTCGTTCTCTTACAAATAACAAGACACACCATTCCTGTCGATCAGTTCAACTGTCTTTCGATGCCATATGCCTCATTAGATTTCCTATAAATTTTTCCATTTTCTTCAAGTCTTGAGCTATCTCCGTTTTATATTGTAGACACTACAGAACAATAAAAAGTTGATAACTCGAACGGTTAACAATTATATATTTGAATTGAAACAAAATGTAACTTGATAAATGATTTCTAAATAAATACATTTAAAATCATAGGAAGATATTACTCACTGTGCAATTGTCTGTTAGTTTGAGCCATAATACGCCTTTGTTATGGCAATATTTCATAGAATATCGAGCCTATGAGATAGAATGTTATTAATAATAATAATAATAATAATAACTATAATAATAATAATGATATACATTATAATCAAATATTTCAACGAATTATTCTGAAAATATATATAATTAAACCCATTATAATATAACGGTAAATCATCTACGTCCTTCTGCATGAACTATGTATTAATCTAAACTCAAAACCGTGCAATGATTATTGTTAATAATAATTATTAAAAAGAAAACAAAAATATCAAACAAAATATGTATTCTTTTGTGTCTATGTGAATGATGTATTATTCTCGTTATTAAATCATACAATACAATCATCATCAATTTTTCTTCAAAACAATTTAATGATAACTTTGAAATACCTCAGAAGCATAAATAAGTGGCACAGTAATTCGATATTCACAATTATGCTAATAAAATATGCTCTTAACCCTTTCGTTATTGCATACTTTGACTAAAATATCGTTCTATGGTAGGTTTAATGGGTTCATTATATGGTCATTTATATGGGACCTTTAAATGAAATAACAACTTGTATATGAGTCACTAGTAACGAAAGGGTTGTTAAATCATCGAAATGAATATTATTTTTATACAAGAAAAATCGCAAAGAATTTTCTTATTATTAAGATGTATGAGATAAACTTACTTTCATAGGATTCTGAAGATATAACCTCTCCGCACCCTTTTCAAACTCTTCCCATGAGTTCAAGTAAGTCATAGTAGTTGTCACTAATATTTATTTTATTAATCGCACAAAATTACTTATAATTTAATATCAATATGTTTTTAATTATCGATATTTAATTAAAATAACTATTAAATTAAAATATACTTCGAGTGAAATGCCACTGACTTGATCATAGGAACGTTTACTATAGACGAGGTTAAGGTTTACAATCGACGCACGGCGACCTAGTATAGCGCCACCTGGTATCTTTAAAATCAATCAACGTATCCAATGAATTAGTTTACTTTTGACAAATATTAATAAGAGAAATGAAATTATAATTAATAGAATTATATGCTAATGTGATAAATCTATTATCTTTCGTTTTACTTAATTAATTAAGAATATTATCGACATTTGTTATTAAAAATATGTTTGGGTTAATAAAATGGCGGGAAAAGATGTGGAGGAGTGATATGATTGAAAGGGTATTATTGGCTTAGCCTGATCTTAATGATTTTAATGATAGCTATATTTAAAATAATGGCGTCTTTTCAATGCATTTATGAACACAACATAAAAGTATTAGCCAATGATAAGCCATAATAGAATATAAAGAATTAACTTCCGTATGCACGCTTCCTACATAATGGTGTTTGACTTTTGAAAGATTGTTTACAAGCAAACTTAGTGCATAACAATAGTTGATAAATTGATCATATACATTGTGGTGTTTTAATCTCTCAACGAAGTTTTATCAAAACCAATTCAAAATGATTATATATAAATATTTTGTTTAATTATTATTTGTGCTTAGATTAGTTAAAGACATTATATCTTTGACCCACTTGTTGCGTTTAGGTTATGGTCCTATAAACAAAAATATGTTTTACATAAATGTCTGGGTTGTGTAATAAATCAGTAAGAATTAGAGGGTAGGAATGGAGGGACCAGGTATAAGCCTATTTCTAGGTGACAGTTTACAATTAAATATCAGCAAAGAAAGATTAGAAGAAGATGAAGAAAAGGAGGATTTTAAACGACGTAATGAAGAGGTATTAACATTTACATTTGTTTATCCTGTTATTATTATAATCATTAATTTGTCTTGCCTTATAATCGTTAATAAAATTAGTGATGTAGCTTAATTGATACTTTGATACTTGAATCTGTATTATTTGATTTTCAGATCGATCATTTGTTGACCAATGCATTTGACGATTTAGAAAATGACGATGAAGATGATGACGATGATGATGATGATGATGATGATGATGATATCAGTTCAGCTAATAGCAGCCATTATCGTTGCAGTGCCAAAGAAAATGAACATACCAATATGACTAAACCGAGACTACCTTTCAAAATGCAGACGTCTACACAATTATCTAACGATTCTGGAGCGTACGATCATGTAGACAATTCGATGAATTATAATTACGAAACGACGAAGAATTACAGGATGGAATCTGATATTGGATTGAGTACTTCTGACATTCAAAGAGATGCAAGCTTGTGCGGTACGACGGGAACGACGCCGCTTAAAAATAACAAATCAATAGAAGAGGATAATTTAACGACGGAAAGTTCGTACAAATTGGCAAGACTTCCAAATTCTAGTTATTGTCCTAGAAATCTGGCAAGTCGTGCGGAAGACGGTTATACGTTTAACGACAATTATCCTCACAATTATGAAACACCATCTAATCATTACAACAATCATGGAAAGCAATATTTTAATAATGGTTATATCGAAAATTATGGGAACAATGTACAATGCAAACAGATTTACGAGTTTGGTGGAGGTGACAATGTTACTTCGGAAGAGGTCAATCACCGTTCTAAAATTAGTCCAAATGGAAAAGGGTTAATCGACGATAACACGATATATAAAACTACTGAGTATAATAGCAAAGAACAACTCGAAGTTTTATATATGATTAGGATGAAAAGTATAGAACAATTGACCGAAGAGTTGCAACAGCTACGACTGGAGAAAGAAACAGAGAAAGATCAATTTAATCGTAAGGTAGTGTTGTTGCAGGCAGAAGTTGAAAGATCAAACATATCTAGGGATGAAGCGCAACATGCTCTTAGTAAGAATTATTATTTGGATTAATCGTGGATTTCATTATGTCTTTTATATCGTTATATATTTTATGTGCATGTCTTCTTTGTAAGCATTCAAAAACAACGCTCTGTAATTAGTTTATATATGTGACCATAAACTGTATTATATAATAAATCATTTTTTTAAATTTACTTTACAGTCGATGCCAAAGCAGAAATTATAGATCTTCAAGGACAAATGGCATCGTTGAAAGAAAAAAATGCTGTTTTAGAGACCACGAATCAAAACGTAAGAACAACATTTTATCATTCAATTGATACATGTTAAATATTGTCTAAATGATTTCAAGAATATCTCAAAAAGAATAATATTTATTTTGTAGATGGCTGAGGAATTAGCCGTCACGAAAGATTCCGTAGTGGATCTTCAAAAAAAAGTTAACGTCTTGGAACGAGTACACGCGCTGCAAACGACTGATAAAGTTCACGAGAAATTGTTCAAACAAGCTCAAGAAAAACACGCAGTAGAAATAAGAAATATGCAAACTCAGATAGATGTACTTACGGATAAGTTTAATGCGAAGGTAATTATGGTAATATTTATAACCGTTGTGAACGATATTATCAATAATTATGATCTTAATGTTAACACACTTTCCAAGTTCTATTCCTAGTCGTCACTGACGTGATTCACGTCATTTTCAATTTTAAAAGTTTTATAAAAATCAATTTTTATAATATTTAAATAATTCATTATTTTTGCCGGTACTCAGTATTAAAAAAAGGAAAAAATCTGTTACATTTATTTACTTACAATAGGAAGAATCGTGCACAGTTTTGGAACACAAATTGGCAGATATTAGAAGATCTTACGAAACTTTGATAGTGGAGAAAGGTGATACCGTCAATCGTCTTGGTCAAGCATTGGAAAAAAGTCAATCACAGTGTCGTAGTCTAATGGATAACAATGATCAACAAATATTGCAACTACAAGCTCAAATTAAAATGTTGTCTCAAGAAAAGGAAGACATGTCGAGGACCATTCAAGATTTACAAGTAATTAAAGTGAAAATTATGATATACGATTGTTCGAAACACACAAACACATTTATATAGCGTATGTTATATATAATTACATAGTTATTTTTTTCTAATATCTACAGAATAAATTAGAAGTAGCCAAGAATGAGACAACGCAATACGATTCATTGGCGACAACGTTCGAAGAATCCGATTCTATAAGACAAATGAAATTAGGGGATTTTCATAACAAATCCAAGTCGAAGCCAATGGATGATATTACAAATAAATTAAGGGGTGAATTGCAAAGGTAAAAAGGTTGCGTCAGGATGGTTCTGTACGCGTTACGCGTATCAAATATTTCTATACATTGTATTTACATGTTTTTTTTTTTTTTCAGATGCTTAGCGGGACAAGCTGTAAAAAGAAAAGAAATAACGCTTTTAGAAAATAAATTGTCGCAAAAGGAAGAAGAACTAGCAAAGGCATCCGCAGTAGCTGAATCTTGTAGACAAGAAACGACTAAATATGCTAAACGCGTTAGCGAATTAGAACAAGAACTTAAGTTAGTTCTTACAGATGAAGCATTGAAAGCGAATGCTCAAATCCAAAAATTATCTGAACATTTGAACGATGTAGAAAAACAATATGAACTGTTAAAGAAAGAAAAATTCAATTTAGAACAGAAATTGGAAGAGGCGGAGGCTATTTCTCAAGAGACTTTAAATAAATTGCATCAAGAGAGTGCTAAGGTACAAGAAAAAGAGTTTGTCGAAGAGTACAACAAAGAATATTTAGAAATACACGATAAAGCTGTTGAAAGAGTAAGAGAGGAAGCCAAACTGGAAATAGTACAATTAAAGTAAGTACAAATCTACTAGAATGAAATAATTTCAAGATTTCATCGCAAATGATTTACTTTTATAATTTCATTTACAGTATACAATTAGAACAAACGCAAAAAGAATTAGATCACGTTAAGAAATTGTACATAGACGTTTGCGGTACGAAGGAGCAATTGATTAACGAGCATAAAGAAGAAATGAAAATGTTAAAAGAAAAGTACGCTAATTTGGACGAGCATCAAAGAAATGTGGAAAGATTGGAGAATGAATTGGATAAGCAACAAAAATTTATCGAAAAGTTGAATAAGAATAGCGAAAGTTATACAAATAAAATAATAGAATTAGAAAAAGATTTGGCTATGGAGAAAAGAAAGAAAGAGGAATATACTAAAAAGATTCATCACGAGATAGAAAGAGGTAAAAATAATCCAAAAATAATAATAATAATATAAATGTATAATGACAAATAATAATTGTTATATTTTTGAAATTCTAGCGAAAGAAGAGGCATTGAAAGAATTAAGAAATGCGCATCCTAATCAAGAAATAAGTGTATTATTACCTGATCATTGTTCCGAACATTTAGAAAGAATTAATAAAGTAAGTTTTTACTAAAGTTAGTATGCTTTAATAAATTCTTACTTCTCTATATGTGTAATTGTAATTGTATTTATCTTTTGTAATAGCTCGAAGAAGAGAATGTTAGATTGGAAGAGAAATGTCGAATGGCGGAAGAGGATCATAAAAAATTATCAGAGTATCAAACGGAATTAGACGACACGAAATTGAGGATCGCGCAAATGGAAATTTGTCAGGAATCTTGGAAGAAGAAATATGACAATGCGATTGCAGAAAGAAACAAATTTCTTGCACGCATATCTTCCTTGGATTCTCAATTATCGATATTGAATAAAAAATTAAACAGAGACGATTCCGACGAGATGAAATTAAAGATAACGAGGGTACAAATAGAAAATGAGAGTCTAAAGAGTCGTTGCGAAACGTTGTTGAGCGAGAAAAACGCGTTTAGGGATAAAGTAACTCGATTGGAATTAGAATTGTTGGAATCTAAAAAGGTATATCAAAGTTTAGATAATAAGACGAAAAACGAGCTGACTTTATCTAGTACGAAACATAAATTGGAAAAGGAATTGTATCAATACAAAGATTTGGTGACAAAACTGAGCGATCAGTTGGAAGAGAAGGTACAGGAATACGATAACTTGAAGAAAAGGATGAAGAAACTGGAAGAAGATTTAGAAGAGAAAGATAAGAAGCTTAATAGAATAAACGATTTGGATAAGGTTACAAAGGAAAGGGATCTCCTGTTAATGAGATTAAATAATCAAGCGAAACGTTTCGAGGAATGTATGAAACATCAAAAACAAGTGTCAGCAGAATTGAATTTATCTCCTCGTACTTTAGGAAATGAAATGGATTTACAAAAGATCAGAGAAATGGTGATAAAGGAAGTTAGAGAAGAGATGGAACAGAAGGTTACTCAAGAGCTAAAAGCTATAGAAATGCAACATCGCGATAAGAGGAGAGAATTCGAAGAAAGGTATAAGGTAGTATTATTGCAGAAGGAAAAGGAGGTGGAAACGTTGAAGCAGAGCTTAAAGAAAGAAACCGAAACGGTTTACTCGGTTAAACTTATAGAAAATAAATTGAAAAGTTATTGCGAAGAATTGTTGGCGAGAAAGGTGTACATCGAAAAATTGGAAGAAAAATTGAAACAACAGGACAACGATATAGGAGAGGAAAGAAACGCGATGGTCCAAGTGATGAACGACTGGCTCGTCGAACTGAAAAATATTAAGGCGAAGGAAGAGAGTTTGAAGGATGAGATAGAAAAGTTGAAAGAAACGGAAAATAATTTAAGATTAGAAAGTAACGCATTGAAAGATGAGATAGAAAAGTTGAAGGAAACGGAACAAAATCTAAGATT